CCCCGAGTGAGTGAGGGGACCGGGGTGGGGGCAGAGGGAGGGGGGCCTTGGGAAGGACAAACGCCCTGCAGAAACGGGGAGGGGAGGAAGGAACGGTTACTTGCACGGTCTCTCCTATTGCTTCCCCCCCTCTCCTCCCTTTCTGCCGAGTTTAGCGGCGAGACTGTTCCCCGGCAGAAAGCAAGCAGGATTTGGCGACCTGGATCGAGCAGATAGCTCCGAATAGCCCTCACACACCTGCGTTCCTAAAATCTGGGCAGGAGCATTTCCTCTGGGTGCCGCTCAGCAAAGGCTGCGGGATGCTTTTCGCTATGAATCAGAAGCAGACAAAGTGCCAAAAGTATGATTTTGCCAGCCTGGATTTGCCTGACCGTTTTTCTTTCCGACAAGTTAGGAGGCTAGAAGGCTTACCGTGACCCGGGGTGGCTCCTGGCTGCCTCTTGCTGGTCTCTGCTGCAAATCAATGCATCCCACGTGGTAACAGGGTTAGGTACAGTGTCCACTTCTGCTCCCTCCTCACCAAAAAGTAGTGAGCCAGCGCCTCACCTAGTGCTGCAAACACTGACTCTGGCGATCTGTTCTGCTGCTGGGTTTCCTCTGAGCGCAGAGGGTCTGCTCCTCACTTTTATTGCTGCTTTCAGTGTTGGCAGTTACCAAAGTTCAAAGAGATGGGGGTTTATTGCTTTCTATCACGCAGGGAGGCACAGCAGCCTTATGAAATCAGAATTAAAAGGTCATTAGCCTTGCCAGTAGCCATGCTAGTGAATGTGTTGCAGGACGATCAGAAGCGTTTGCATGGAAACTGTGACCAACGAGGCATTCCCAATCCCACCACCTTTACTCGTGCCATCAATCCCATTGATAAGGTTGCCCAAAGTACCCTGCTGTATTGAAGCCACAGAATCATTTGAATGACTGTCACGTTGTCTCTGTGATCATAGGAAGACCGTTCCGTATGGTCTGGGAGGCCCTTCTCGATCCAGGAGATCACTGACGGACGTGGTGCCGGAGATGCTCACTGAACCTAGCAGCAGATGCCGATGTGCCAACCAGAAGGACAAGAAATGTCTGAACTTTTGCCAGCCAGGAAAAGATCTCTGGTGCGTCTATTGTTGCTACTCTTTAAAAGGCAGTGCATGTAAAATGGATGGGTTGTGGTAGACTTACTCATTTTGGCATTGCTGAGCGAGTAATCTCCCCAAAGGCTTGCCTCCTCCCTGAGCGCTCACACTGCTGTGATACATGCTATGGTTTGGCCCAGAAAGATCGCTTGTTATGTGCCTTGAGAAGTGGTGGATGAGGTGCCTCACCTTGTGGGCTGCAGACTTGGCTGGTTTTTTAACAGCAGCGCCTTTTCACTTTGAACAGGGCTCAGTCCACAGTGGAGAAGACCTCGCGTCACCGCAACAAAGCTGGCAATTGCATCGGACCCAAATGCGTGAACCGACAGCTTGCTGACGGCAAGAAAACGAAGCGGTGGGTTTCTTCTCATCCTCTTGTAGTTCCCCGGAGCAGCAACAGAGAGCACGGTTCACCTGCCTTCGGGTCAGCCTGGCCTTAGCTGGTGGTTTCAGCGTCAGAGTTTGGGAGGAAGCAGTGAGGACAGCTTGGGGGCTTTCCTTCATGCAGTGGGCTCTTAGCTTGCGAAGGCACGGGTGCTGAGCTCTGCCTGGCATCTCCATTTGCTTAGCGGACGGAGGCTTAGTTGTAGGCCTAAAGATAACACCAAGCTTCAGTAGAGTAGGAAATCGTGAAATACTGAGAGAAGTAAATAGAGCCTGTCGTTTTAGTGTGCTCATGCACTATCTTAAATGCTTAAAAATATTATGTCCCAACTATTCTAATATGAAATTGAATCAGAATGCCTTTTCTTAGATACTTTACTCCCTTTTACTGGAGGGGAAAAAAGAACATTTATTGACCTATCCAGATTTTGAATATATTCTTTCTTCTGGCTGATGTGGCTGGCTTTTTCGAATGCAGGAGGTGGATTTCTACCTGCCTTATCTCTTACATTGCCCGACAAACGGGTGTAAAATGAGTACAGGATGTTAGTGATGGAAATGACTGCAAAAAGGTTGAGGAAAGGGAAAACGAAGACTAAATTAATCTTGAAGCCCAATTTAATATTTGAGATTAGGAGTAAATTCCAGGACTGCCCTTTGAGGCCCGTGCCTAACAAGGTGAGTGGCAGCAGGCAGCGGTGTCGCTCCACAGGGCAGCTCAGACCGGGGTGCCTTGGACCGGGGGCAGCTGCGGACCCCACAGAGGGGCACTTTGAAGCTGAGTGTTAGTACAGCTGTATCTGCTCCGGCGTTCTGTGTTCGGCCGTATGCCCGTGTAAAAGTACGGCACACAGAAGTTTGCCCATACTAAAGAAGGCTCTTTAGTGCCACTTTCACAAGCAGAACAGAATTTATGGGTGCAGGCAGCCTGATGATTTTGAGTGAGACTTAGGCCATGGAAATCTTAAATAATTTTTTAAAATGGGGCTGGCTTGCTTACTTACCCGTTCATTGGAACCAGGATCGGGTTTACCGAAAAGAAACAAAACAGCCAAAAAGAGTGACACTGAAGGCCTCTTGATTGGATACATGCTGTTTGAGGAAGTGTAGGGCATCTATAGTTGAATGTATATTTTGACTTATTTTAGTGTTTGCATTTAAATTCTGAATCCAATATTCCAAGTGGCTGAAGTTAGCATAATTCTGACAGAGGTATAGCCATCGGCAGTTTCAGAGGATTCCAGGGCAGAAATCTAGGCTGGGGTTGGTTTAATCAAAAACTGAACGCCTGCATGCTGGAGATGCATCTTCATTATTGTAACGATAAACGTATATTTCTTGTTTTTGCAGGCTGGAAGCCATCGGTAACAGCATCAAAGCTTCCTTCAGTATTGCTAAGCTGAAGGCTGAGCTCCAGAAAGGGCGGAAGCTGAAACATAACAGGGTGAACAAAAGGCAAAGCATCTGGGAAAGCCTGAAAGCATCCTAGTGGGAAGATCACCTGAATCTTTCTCCATCACACTTGCTGACAAGGTGTCACCAAAACTCTCTGAACTTCTAACATTCCACGACAGCGAAGGGCCTTTCTATCCAAGTGGTTGCGCAGCAGAGAAAAACACTAAGGAAGTCCCGTATTTGGAGGTATAAAAGCAAAGGATTTCATCATTTTGGAATTCAGATGGATGGGTAGAGGGGGTGAAGGGGAATCTGCAGTAACATACATGAAAAGCCATCTTTCTGAAGAATCGTTTGAATCTTGCTTCTGGAATGTTACCCACCAATTGAGCAGCTTTCAGGGTCTACATCAAAAGCATCTTGCAAGGAAGATCTCACAGATGTGCTTAGAAAGGACAGAAAGCAAGGTCTTGAGTGGACAAACTTCAAAGCGAAAAACTCTACCTGTTGATTAAAATGCAAAAATGACAGCCACAGTGCTACTTTAATCAGGACTTACTGCATATATACATGTCTACCTCGCGTACTGTTTGTTGCACTCCCGCTAGAGTATTTTTACACCTTGTTATTGCCTTTACTAATCAGCTGCAACCCTTTGCCTTTTTTCAGAAGTCTAGTTTACTTGTACAACCAGAGTTATCTGAATGTGGGTTAGGCACTGTGGTTGTTTGCATAGTCAAAGTCCTTTGGATACCAAAGGACTCTCCAACATAACATAAAAGTTAGAGGACACTACTAGGTTTCCCACAACAAGGATATTTGGCTAACTGAAGTTCTAATAACAGAGGTTGTTGTGTCTTACATGCCACCAAAAATGCACTGAAGTGGGCATGTACCAGAGGCTGTTGTGAGATCTCTTCTGTGCCTTGTTTGGTGGAAATGTGTCAAGACAAAGGGTTGTTTTGAATTATGTCAAAAGGCTAATATTGGGTGAATGTTTATAGCAGTGAATTTGTTCACATTGTTGAATTTGCTGACAGGTTGAGTCATACGTGCTTATTTTTTGTGTTTTGTATTTATATTCGCACAAGTTCATTATATTTACCATGTTGAATACACATTGAAGCAGGCCATATTGGTCTATGCATGTTTTATGTATTTCTGTATGAAATTGGGAAATGCTTTGTGCCTATCAAGGTAATTATCTTCAGAAATAAATATTTTTAATTACTGTATTGCCTTGTTTTTCATATGCCCCACTTTGCCATAGGCCGTGGCTCCATGATCATGGAGGTAGATTGCCACATGTACAAAGCTGACCGAGATGAAGTGTGTGCACACAATTGCTTTTCTGTCAGATTAGCCAGATCGCAACACAAAGTTTGTGCCAGATGTGAGACAACAGATTACACTTGTTCTAGCTTCAAGCTTGCTCATCAGAACTTCACGGTGAAGTTTGAATTGGCCAAATGAATTTATCCTGCAGCAGCATTCTCACACAGCTGATGTCTTTTTCATCCAATAGTACAAATTCTAATGTTGGATTTACTATACCCTTAAAATATGACCAATGAGGGGTTGGATATAGATGAACTAGAGGAGGAAATACACACACTGGATGCTTTGTGGGCTGTATTGGATGGGGCAGTGCTGTGTTACTTATTAGCGTGCTATCCTAAAAATCTCAGCCCAGCCCATGCAAGTTCAAGATGAAGACCTCAGTGGAGCCTGGCCCAAGCTCAGGAAAGGGCTAGAGCCATAAAACCCAAACTTCTACAAACAAATGCAATACAAAATGTATAGCTGAAATACAACCGGGAGCCCCTGTGCTTCTCCAGGGCAGGATGCGGCCCCCGGAGCCGCCCTTTGATCTCTGCATCGCCTGTGCTCGCTGCTCAGGCCATGCGTGGACCAGTGACCTCTGTCAGGTGTGAAGAGACCGCACTGACACTCCCTGGTTTTCCATTTCTTCCCCCACTGGTTGTTGCTTTTGGCAGGGAAAACAATCAAACAAGTAGCCGAGGGGCTGCCTCTCACCCGGCCGGAGGGGCAGGCGCGTGGGTGCACCCACAGGGTGCCCCTGCTAGCGAAGGGGCCCCGCACCCACAGCCCCATCCCAGTTGCTGCTGTTTTCTCTGCCAGAAGAGAACGGGAGGAGAGGAGCGATTCTGGTAGCAGAGGAATGCTGCAGCAGCGCCCGTGCTGTTGTTAAGGCTGGCTATCTGGATTTTGTAGGTGGCCAGGCTAAATGATGCTGTGGGTGGGCTTTAGTAGCCCAAATTCCTGGCCAACTGCTTAAGGGATTCTTGAGAGACCATCCTAAAAATAAATCTGTTCCTTCTAGGATTTATTCAGCTCATGCCAGGACTCAAGAGCTGGCTTTCAGCCTCCTTTCCTTCCCCCTAAACTGACCCGGCTGTTTGCTCGTGCTGCAGCTTTGTGCAGTGATGGGCACCCACTGGCCTTTTGGGGAAGGCACGGGCCACAGAGCCCCACACGTCACCGAGCCCGTGTGGCAATGCAAAGAGCACAAGGAGGGTTAGCTGTCCCGATGCCAGGGGCTTGCAGGCTTCGGGACAAGTGGCCGAAGCCATTTCACGCCGCCCAGCCTGCTCCCGGGGCCCGTTCGTGTGCGGCGGGGGCAGCAGGGGATGGTCCCTGCCCTGCACCCCACGCTACTTACCTTCTGGCATAGGAGCATAAACTGCCGCTTACCCTCGTTTGCATTAATGAGCCGGACCGAAAACGAGAATTTAACAGTCTGTTTGTCTCACTGAATAAGCAAAAGGGAACTTGAAGCATTTTATCTTAAGGCTGGCTCACATACAAGTACCAGGTTCTGACCCAGAGGTTTGCTCCTTCTCAAAGTGAGCTCCGTGGCAGAAACGGATTCAGTAACTCAGGCCAGAGCCCTCGGTGAAAAAACGAGAGGCTTGGTATGTGCTGGTGCTGAACACAGAGCAGTGTAAAAGTACGTTCTTACTTATAATAAACGACCTGAGCGAAAAAAATACTCTACCTGCAGCCAATGGAAAAATTGTGCTGACTGCAGAGGCACGGCTGCAGAGTCAGGGTTCTCCTTCTCCTAACTAGAGCTAATCTCACTTCTTCTCCTGAAAAGTAAACCTTTCATGGCCATGATCTATCTCCTTTTTAAGTGAGAGGTTCTTCTAATCCAGGATGAAATTCAGGAAGGACAAAGGGAAGAACGGAGAGAAGAAGGCCACCACTTTCCAGGACAGCCGTACTCTAATAGTGCCAAAACACACCTGACGTATGGCTGAGATTCCAGCTCGGATGAAGAGCGAGGAAAGGCCACATTCCCGAACTGCTACCAAGTTGTATCTCCCTCCTCTGATTTTTCCTGGGTTGGGCACGGCCTTTTCTGAAATTGCAAAAAGTTTCACAGGAAAAGACAACTCTCTCTTTCCGAAATTAAGGTTGCTGTACTTATTTTTATTCAATGCTCTGTGTAATTCTTTCTTGCTCAGCTGGTTTATTTTTATTTTCTCTGGATAAAGACTGTTTTGACTTTATGTCAAAACAAGATATACAATGAAACAAAGCTTCAACGTGTGAGTCAGGCTTCAAGTCAGGAAAATACTACAATGCTACTGAAATTCTTTCCATCTTATCTACATAATTCTGACCTAATTTTTCCAGAAAAGGCAACTCTAATCTGTACCATGTTATCATGAACTGCCCCAAAATAATTCATGCAGGATGTCCTAATGTTGCCTATAGAAGTTACCAAATACCAGCCTCTTTGTTCATGTTTCCTTACGTTAGGATAAATATAGCCACCACAACACACTTCTGTATTTACAAACACAGAATGAGCTGGATAAACCGCTGTTTGAATGCTGTCTGATGTTTACTTTCTTCACACTCAACTGTTTGCCTCTGTGTATATAAAACCATATCAGTTTTGACTTTGCCTGCATCGTGCCGCTATTATTAGGTGCCTTGGGTAGAAATCCAGCTTCCATACTCAGCTGATATCTTTATTTAATTTACTGTTCTCCCTTCGTGACCTAGGAAACAAAAGGACGGGGTTTTTGATTAATTAGAGGAGAATGCTTGGAAGCTGCGATGGTGAGTGTAAGTATGCGAGGAGACAGAGCGCGACAGATAAAGTACAAAGATAGCGGCAGGATCGGTTTTCCTGAGGTAAACATCGTGCGAATGACATTTTGGAAACTTAGCCAGAATGGGTGTTCGTGTCTTTATTTTATATCTCTGATCAAATCTGAGCGAGGTGAAAAATGATAGGGAAGCCTATTTTGCTATTTCTCAATATGGTTAAACAATGGGTTGGTATGTCTCAGCGGTGTGCCTGGGACAAGTTCCTCTGCTCTGATCAGGTCAAGGAGACCTGAATTCTGCCTGCAGTCCACCGGTCAGTCGGTCAGCCAACAATTCCCTCAGCTTCAGAGGCCTCGTTTATGGCAGTGAAAATGAGAGCAGGATCTGACCCAGAAAAGCTTCGTGCTTTCCGATATTGCCACGACGGGGGCAAACGGACACTGGTTTGCTGATGCTAGCACAGGGCTCCAGCGGTTCGTGCTGCTCTTGGTCTGGGTTTGGGGGTTTATGTGCTGTTCTTTTCTCCCCACAAGCATTTGCTAGTAACAATTAGATAAATATCACTTTGGTAAGCAACGGGGCAGTTTGCCTCTGGCTCAAGAAAGCTGCGTTCAGAAATGGATGAGCCCTGTGGAGTTTGTGGTTTTGTTGACCTCTCCAAATATTTTGGGGGCTGCAGAAATTATTTGAGTTCATCAACTGTAATTCAAGCCCACACTGTTGTTGTTGTTGTGTTTTGTCCCCCAAGGAAATAAAAAAAAACCCCAACCCTAAACCTAACTTTTTTCAAGCTAAAGAAAAAATGTATGTTATGTGCCAGTCACTAGAAAAAAAAAATCCAACCTCTAGTCTGGCAAGAAGAAAGCAGCACTGTATTTTGGTCATATATATTGGATTTACATTTTCCTCTGCTTTCTCCACCTCTTTTCACAGACATGTTATGTGTCAGTCACTAGAAAAAAAAAAAAATCCAACCTCTAGTCTGGCAAGAAGAAAGCAGCACTGTAT